TGGTGAGGCCACAGCTGGAGTACTGCGTCCAGTTTTGGGCTCCACAATTCAAAAAGGATGTGGAGAAGCTTGAGAGAGTCCAGAGAAGAGCCACGCACATGATCAGAGGTCAGGAAAACAGACCTTATGACGACAGGCTGAGAGCCATGGGGCTCTTTAGCCTGGAAAAGTGCAGGCTCAGGGGTGATCTGATGGCCACCTATAAGTTTATCAGGGGTGACCACCAGGATCTGGGGGAATGTTTGTTCACCAGAGCGCCCTAAGGGATGACGAGGTTGAACGGCTATAAATTACTGCAAGGCCGTTTCAGGCTGGACATAAGCATTTCTTTACTGTCCGAGCTCCCAAGGTCTGGAACAGCCTGCCATCGGAGGTGGTTCAAGCACCTACATTGAACACCTTCAAGAGTAAACTGGATGCTTATCTTGCTGGGATCCTATGACTCCAGCTAACTTCCTGCCCTTTGGGCGGAGGGCTGGACTTGATGATCTTCTGAGGTCCCTTCCAGCCCTAATGTCTGTGAAATCTATGAATAGTAGCGCCTCATTGACACTTTTCAGGTTTTGTGGAATTTTATTGGAATTCCAAGAATGCACTGACTCTGCAGCACTTGAAACTACAGAGGTGGATCTAGGACCCTTCTTTTCTAATCTTGACTCCTCTCTGTCCCCACCTCACACGTCTCACCAAAAGACAAAGATTGTTTTTTCCAAATTATTGCTCATGATACTGGTATTAATACCAAAGCTGTGTTTGGACTGTTCTGTCAGAGAGGGTAGAAGAGTGGACTTTGGCTTAACATCTGACCCATAGGAATTTCATTTTTGTCATTAAGTGTGTGCTGTACTATTGATTTTAGTATTGTTAAGGGCAACTCTCATCTTTGAAGTGACTTACACCAAAAGTGAAATTAATATTATACATGTTGATCTGTATGGATGCCATGCATCTGTCCATTTTAAAACTGATGCACACAATTGCATGCCCAAAATGTGCACTCAAGTTGGATTTTTCAGCTAGCTAGCCATTTGCATGGCAGTTGAGATTGTTGCCAAAAAGTTAGATACACAAACTCACTCATAAAATCCAGCCCCTTGTATGTTACATGATTTTGTATATCTGAATGTATTTGTGTTTTCATTTATGTCATTGAGTTGTGGCTATGGATTTTTTTAAATATGATAAGAGATCTCAATTCTTTATTATACAATTTTTGTAGCGTCATACCAGTGGGGTGAAAAGGAGGCTTCTGAAATACATCATAAAGTGTGTGTGTGTGTGTGTGTGTGTGTGTGTGTGTGTGTGTGTGTGTACACTACATGGCTTAAACCCACACAGATACATATTCAGATACACATATAAAATATAAGATTTACTTAGTAAAGTGACAAATACTCCCTTCACTATCCTTGCAGTTAATGAAAATGTGTATTTCTTGTAGGAAAGAATCCCTTAGGTAAATCTTACAGTATGTACTCTGGTTCATTGCTCCTAGGTGCAGCATTTGCATGTGCACCAGGGACCACATCATGTTGAGCTTGGATGGAGCAGCCCAAGCTGGCAGGAGGCCCCAGAGCTGCCCTGACCTAGCTGAGTGTGCTGCAGAGGAGCTGGCTGGGCCAAAAGGTACTACATTGTAGGGCTAACCAGCTGGCAACCTCCACACTGAAGAACCCTTGTGCCCCAGCCAGCCCCGTCATCGTCTACACAAATATTTCAATGCACGTTATTACACCACTGTAGGATAGTACTTGTGTCAGGCAGTATATAGTCTGCTGTGTCTCTCTCTGGTGCATTGCATATGGGGATTCTTCTCGAGCCTCACCATTATTCTTAGGGATGAACAGCTTCGTTATTGGAACAACTTCAGGTCGGTTCACCAGGGACCTCGTCTGTCATGTCTTTGATGATAATTGCCTGCAGATTGGGAGGACGATGTTTGGTCCCGCCTCCCCTTGGTGTCTCCCCTCGGTCATTCCCACTGCTCCATCTTTGTGGGGCTCCGCCTCCCGTACACCCCGCCTAATGCCAACCATGATGTCGTCACCTGTGTTGTTGAAGCTGATGTCCTGTGCCTTCTTGGTGCTAGGGTTCCTAGACTATGATAGCCGCCGGGTATGGGTGATGTTACTATCCCGAGCGTTTACCACGGCCTTCCTCCTTTCCAGTTATACGTTGTCCAGCCTCAGTACCAGTCCGTCCCCACATTGCCTCTGCCCTGGGCTTGGTACTTGCTGTCCGTCAGTTTTGTCTGTATCCTGGGTCCACTGAGTCCTGCCAGGCTCCAGTCTCCGCTGCCAACTTCCTCAGTCCATGTCAGCCCTGTAAACAAATCCTCAGGCCCTCTCTGGCCCTGCGCTCTTGTGGAGACTTCTTCCTGGGGTAACCACTAGGTCCTCTCACTGGGACTGCTTGTGTTCTCTGGCCCCTCCGGGCTGGCTGGGGACACCACTTCCAGTCCCCCTGCTTGTCTTCCTCTGGGCCTTTTATCTTGGATCCAGGGTTCTGGCCACCCAGTCGGTCCCGGCACGCTGTTATAAAGCATGCCCACACTGATGGGGGTGTCAATCCCAGCTCCTTTGGGCTCGGCCGTTTTTTTTCCGTTTTGTATTTTCCTGCTGTGGCTCCGCCTGCTGTGGTTTCACTTCACCGCTTTCATCTTCCAGTGCAGCATCCCGCCGCCTCCATTACTTATCAGGTAAGTCTTTTCCAGACAGTACTATCTTAGGGCAGAGTGAATTAATTTACTGTGGATTAATAGCTCCCACATGTATAGATGGTGACTATTAACTCTGCAGTAAAGTATTTTTGTGTAGATGCCCCCAGTGTGGATTTATCTAAGCCATATACACACACACACACATTCATCATACTCCCTTAGTTATTCTTGGTATGAATGAAAATATGTATTGCCTGTAAGAAAGAATACTTAGGTACATCTTATATATCTCTTATGTGTATCTGAATATGTATCTGTGTCGGTTGATCTAAGCCATGAAGGTGTATTTTTTTTTCAAGAAAGAAAGACTGAAAGCAGTTCATATTTGCTAGAGAATCTCAATCTGTCACATGCTATCAAATAATGGATTGTGCGTTGTCATTTTGTTTGAGTACCAGAGCTAATGTCTCAGTCACAGTCTTCAAAGTCTCTATAATCTTTACTGTTATCTGTTGATAAAAGCTAGATATGCCAAGTGTTCAGCAGAATAAACCTGTCAAAGATGTGCTACGATGTTGTATTCCTCATTGATTTTCTCCCTTTTGTTTAGCTTAGAAAATTCATGCTAAGTGCACTGAAGATCAATATCTATTATGAACAGATTTCTCTGTCTTTAAACACAGCTGGAAGTCTTAGTTTGGCTTTTTCCCCTTTTAAATGACATAGCTGCAGCTTCCATTCTATTAATATATGTGTTTGTCCAATTAAAACAATTGCTCCAAGTACTTGTCCTGTTCATTTACACAGACTATTTTATTACTCCTATAGAAATGTATTTTCATCATACTTTTGCAAAATTTATTTTTAAAAGTACTTTTAAATCATGTGTTATTTAGCTACTAATTCTCAGTATTTTAATGTAATTGCCCTATTCTTGCCACTGTTTGATTTTATGTAACAGCTTTTATTTTTATACGTTTTCCTGGTATGTAGGTCCCTTGGAGTTAGTGGAAGCTTTAGAAAATGGAGGATGCCCTACTGCAGGATGCAGAGGAGTTGGACACATGAAACGAGCAAGACACATGGGCCATCATAGGTACATTCTACAGACAGTTGCTTCTTAACTGCTGCTTTGTATTATTACATCCTTTAGACAGAGGACACCTGTTAATTGCTGTTCTCAAGAAAGCAGGGCAGAGTTGAAAATAAATTAGATGCACATTGACTTCAGTTGCCATGGTGAACTTGCTGAAATTAACATTAACAATCTGTAACTTATTTCTGTAACTTATTTGCAGCAAGGTGTGCCAAGAAAAAGCATATTCAACAGTTTTCTCCTTGCAAATAACAAATCTACCTCTGCTCTTTGTTCCGAATAGGGCTACTCATTTGACTGTTCAGATTAGAAAATGATGCAAAAATTGTGCTATATCAACTTTGTACATTTAAAATGATCCAGGTGGTAGTTTTGTTATGGCTCAGTTTTTTATGTTTGTTTCTTTGTTAACTTTTTGGCAGAGCATTTTTTAAATATCCTCTATTTCTGTCATTACCTCTATCAGACGAGCCTGCTGCTATCATTACCTTCCTTGTGCATCTTTCTGATGCAAGTTAAAGAAATGAGAGGGTCCCAGGTCTTCTGAAAAAAGATTTGTCAGGGGAAAGACCAATGGAAAAGAGAAAGAGAAATCACAAGTTCTATTATTATTTTTAAGCATGTTTACAGTATAAGATGACCCTGAGACCCCTACCCCATTAATGAAATGCAATCAATGTAAAGTGTTTAAGCACAAAAATAAATATCAACTGGAATCAAAGACTTTGGCACAATGGCAAACTCTATAGAACTTAGGTAGAAAATCATAGTAAAGTAGGGCTGGAAGGGACATCAAGAGGTCATGTAGTTCATCCCCTTGGCTCAAGGCAGGATCAACTCTGACTAAACCATCTTAGATAATTGTTTGTCTAACCTGTTTTTAAAATCAACCCCTCAAACGTGACTATCAGGTATAATGTTTGAAATCTAAAAACACCCTTTAACTTGTGACAAGTAAAGCTGGGAGCTCAGGGCACTGTCAATATCCTGCTACTGCCAAGGACAAGAAGTAGTTTGTTAAAGTATATGGCATATGTTTAGAGATCCAAGAAAGAGGACCATGCTCCCTGCTACAGAGGAAGGCAAGCTTTCTACCCCTGACACAGTCTGTCTACTGATTGTGGGGTAAAATTCCTTCCTGATTCCAAATGTAGTGATAAGTCTGACTCTAAGCAGAGAAGCAAGGCCTGCTAGCCAGAAAATGCTGGATTTTCTAAGTCCCCAGCTTCTATAATTTTTCCAATAAAAGTTCATGTTCCTGCCAGTCATTAGTGTTATATCAGTAATGCTGTGGGTGCATCCAGACGAGCCCACACATGCCTCTTGCAGTGTCTTAAACCTCTGCAGGGATGAGAAAATGTTCCCTGCGCTGCATATTTGCAGCATGGGGGCAAAATTAGACCCCTGAAAATCCAGGGATCAAAAAAACCTGCACAGAAAAAAAGCGGGACAGGGTACAGTCTCAGACTATGCCCTGAGGCAACCGGAGGCTGCGTCTTCCATAGAGATGCTCTGGCTGCCAGAGTGTCTCTGTGGTTAGCCCTTGCGCTGAAGCACACTCAGGCAGTGTGCCAGCTTCAGGGAGCTGGACCCAGACTCCACTGCAGGTAAGTAAGGGGTTGGGGGACTGAAGGAGGGGACCATGGCGGGGGGGGCCCCGCTGGCTCTGCCTGCTCCCCCATCCCCCCGATCCCTCCTCTGCTTGGCCCCACCCCCACAACCCCCTGAGCCTCCCTGATCCCTTCCCTGCCTGGCCCCATCCCTTGCCTGTCCCTTGAGCCCCACCCACGATCCC